GATTTTAGGATGCGTTTAAAATAGTGAATACAAATCTTGAAACTTATTCACAATGCTAAAACACTTTCCCGCTAAATCATTGTATGTGCTATATGTAGCGGTGCACAGATAATATATTCCACAGATTACACAATTGATATATATGGTAGAAGCAACCTTAGAAGTTAGAAGTACACACGATTAAAAACGAATTGAATGCAGTCTGTAACGAATTTTCATATTAAGCACAGATAGTATTTTGTATTGTCACTGAGAGTCAATCAAAACAACAATTTGGTGTTACGTAAATAAATGTGCTTAATAGCATTTCAAAAGATGTCGTATAATGGTAGATTAGTTTACGATAGTACGATTATACTCGTATTATTATAAAGCAATTTTCTATGTGTGGTTCAAACACACAATCACGCATAAGAGATGATCTGGCATTTAATTTTAGGAAAATATAGATATTGTCTTTAGTTTACTTTTTTTAGTTTAATATAACTGTGATCTTCCCGTAACGCGTTCTATTTGATTTATTTAATTTCTATAACTTATTTCTTTTTAAGGATTTGTCTATAGCGTACATGAGTAATACATATTTAAATAAAACACTCTGAATGGTTTAAAACCTGAAAACAAACAAACATTAAAACTTCTTTTAATTACAGTCCGATTGCTTTGCAGCAGCCGTGGTCACAAAAGGGTACCTAGTCCGCCCCGTACCGTCTTAACTTTTTTTCGAAACTTATTACAAATTCTTCTTATTTTATTTACAAAGTGTCAAGCGACACTGAATATGTTTGCAGACTATTATGCATAGGGGATTTTACATAACCAATTGAATTACTGTTTTAACAACTGTGGCTATCGTATTTCGTATATGTGAACTGTGTGACCTCAACATTCGGTAACCTCACGGTTTAAACTGTGAAATTATTGTTTACACCTCCAGCAGTTGACTAAAGTTAAGTACAATGCGCTTTGAATACATTAAAGAAACAGCCAGTATGAAATGGGAAACATTCATAGATACACATTATATGTCATATTATAGTTTAAATATGTTGCTTGAATATGCACCTTTGTGAATTGAACATAGAGGAGATTACACAACGAAGAACGAAAAAAGCATAGCAACGCATTCAAACTAGTGATAAAATTGCCGCCATCTTGTTTGTCTTGCATAAACAATGCAACTTAACAAGACACAACATAAATTAAATAAATGTACAGTGTTGATGTAACGAAATAAAATAAAATATACTTTATTCTCTTTAAAATAAAAAAAATATTTAGATTCGTCAAAATTACTTTTTTCGTTTGTCTGTCTGTTCGTCGTGATTCTACAGAGTGTTCAAAATGGCAACATAACTGAGAAGAACATCAAAGAAACCGGCTTTTTAAAATTTGCCTTATAAACTAGTACATTATTGTAAATTTATTAAGAGCAATTCACATTACTGCCAGCCAATGGTGTCAATGTATGGTTAATCATCGGGTGTTTTCAATTGAGTTATAATATACTACTATAATCAGCATGTTGAACTTCGTCTGAAAAACTGGATATTACATGGGCGGTAGGAACTATATTAACCCCTATATCTACATCTACCCTTGTGTCCTTTATTTAATGTCAAAGTCAAAAAATCTTTATCACTTACGAAGAAACAAAGGGCGCTAGGGTCGTATTTTAGATTATGACATTAGAGACACCATCAGCCCCCCGCGTTCCGTCACGACCACGGCTTCTGTCAAACGTCCAAAACGTCGGGCCGTAGTAAAATAAACAGTAAATAAGTTTAACTAATATCTTTCTCGTTTAAAACCGTTGAACTGTTTTATTTACAATTTCTGTTTCTTTTAATTTAATAGTTTTTATAGGCAACACGTAATAAAATAATCTATAATTGCTTCCTTAGGTTTAAAACCATTCTTACATTTTGTCCAAAGGACCAAAAGAGGTTTTTTTGTGCTGGGTCACACTTAAATAATTCGATTCGTGCAATCAATTACATATGAATGCAGCCGAAAACCGCTGTCGACCGTCGTCACCAGTTGATTGATTGGTACTCATGACTTCTGTTTCCTCGGGTTAATTAATTTGGACTGTTGCAAAACCGAACTCCGTAATTAATCGCAAAAAACGGACATGGGTTCGCATTGATTGCTTTTGCGCAGCTGTCTTTAAGGTTGCAATTTTCTATCGTTAACCAATGAGGCCCCGGGGCCTTCAACAGAGAATTTGGAATTGATTAAATTCCGGAAAATAAATATCTGTCTGATTTGTCTCTTACAATACATTATTAATCGGTATTAAAAAAACGCGACTGAGAAAAATTGTTTTATGATTTGGAAAATATTTTGGGGCTTGGAGGGCTTCAACTTCTTCAATCTGACCCCTAAACTCCGGCCTTTTACATCAACTAGACAAAATATAATATGCATTTTTATGTTGATCTTTAATGTATTTTTACTAAAAACCTCAACTTGCGCCCAGGCCAAAAATCGATGTTGTTATTTTAAAAATCGAAATAAATTGAAAAAATGTTCGACTCGGGCAGGACTTGAACCTGCATCGTCAGCGTTCCGTCCCGACCGAAACAATTGTTTGTTTCCCTGGGATTCGAACCCAGGGATTTAACTATTTGGCTTCAGAGGCGGAGTATGCTTGTCTGCCTACCTATATTTAAAAAAGTTTCACTTGCACAACGCGAACAAAAGCTAGTCTAATTTATTAATAGGTTATATAAGATCTTAGCGTACACAAAGGTCTACCTACAGCAATAATTACGAAAGCTGTCATTTCACTGCCTATTATCAGCCTCATTTGAATAAAGCCTTGCAAATACCCGCGATAATTGTATTGCTTAATACCCTTCCAGCTTAGCTACAACCTTTGACTTCGCTTTACATGTAATTCAAATTACTTTTGAGTGCTGGCAACATATCCCATATTAAATACACATAAATACATTCGTAATAATCAAAGTAGACCCTTATATGTTTATTTACCCTAAAAGAACGCACAAAAGCAAAATGGCGTCGTTTTTATACATGTTATTTTTTACTATATTGAAAATAGTTTCACATAATTTAAAAATCGAAAATAAATTGAAAAAAATTTTCGACTCGGGCAGGACTTGAACCGGGATCGTCAGCGTTCCGTACTAGTACATTTCTGTGTCCGTTTTACTGATTGGTTTTATTTACTAGCAAGTAGCTGATCAGACTTGTGTGCCCTGCCCGACCGAAACAATCTACTGTTTCCCCGGGTTAGAACCCAGGATCTCTCACGTTTAATGCAATGCTAGGCAACCCGTTTAACCATTTAGCTACAGAGGTGGTTTACTATCGTGCAACAGCGTGAGAAAAATGATACAACAGTTTTCTTGATATAAAGTAATGGGGAGCCAATAAAATCCATAATCGTCCACACAATAGTGAATAAAAACTTGGAGCTGAAATCCAATAATATAATTTAAGGCCCGGAACAGAATTGTGAATTCATCAATTAGATCGCGCTCCACTCGACCAACATCAGACTTGCAAATAGTCAATTTTTCTCTTAATACTTCACACGTAAATGAAATTCAATATCTCAATTGTTTGGACTCGTTTGAGGGTTTGTTGGTGGTAATGGTAGCAATGTATAGACTGGGTCTGGATCCAATTAACTACTGGGTCTAATTAATTTATAATTTCCCTGAAACATGTTGGAATTCGTCTGAAAATGTGGATATTAAATGTGTGATAGGAATATCGAAATTCCTTCCGGCTCACGAACTACCGTCAAGTAGTTCAGTCTGTGGATTTCCGAATATCCAAAATCAAAATAGGTCGACAGCGTACCAGGTTTAGATGTTATATGTATATAATATGGCTAAGTTATTTCACCTACCGTCAAGTGAATCTTTTCGTGAAACCTCTCGTGTCGTGACTTATGACTTCGCTTAGAGCCACTTGCGCCACCACCATCACCCTTCTTCTCTACAATAATACGCTTCCTGTGAAGCAAACAATGCAGGCAAAAGTCAAAACAACATGAAATACAACATGCAAGCCAGCTTTTAAAAAAACCTAATAATTGATGGGAGGTGAGAAAGGTTTTTGAATTTATTTTAGGTTAAATAAAATTAAGATTAGCTGTGGGGCTGTGACTAATGTAGTGTAGGTGCCTATCTTAATAGATTCAGTATATATCAATATTTATCAAATTTAATAGGTATCTTTCCGTAAATGCAAAAAAAAACCAAGAAAACAAACTTTTTCGTACCCATAGCCAACTACACACAAAAATCATTATATATAATGCAATAAATTACACTCTTTGTTACTTCTTTTATTATAAAACTAAGTTACAAATGATGAAACATAGCGTAAAAGTTTGAATTTTAGCAGTAGAATAGAAATAATGTCGTTAAAATAACTTATATTATGTTGAAAAAATAATCAAAGTAATTTACGCTTTATAATAATATAATTACGTTTCGTAGCACATGCTTCGCTACGCGGCTCGGAAAATTTGGCGGCACGGCAATAAGTTGTCAAAAATGTGACATAAGTCATAACATGTCAGCATATCGTCTATGCCTCTTTGCTGCGTTCCGAATCACGCACGTTTCATGATTCATTGTGTTTTTTAAATGTTATTAAGGCATTTAATTTAAATTTTATTATCATAAGCCTATCGACCTCAATTAACCGTAAAAATGTGACGTCACAAGTCTATTAATGTTGTGGGCATGCCCATCTTGCCCACAACGGTGGATCCGCCCTTGATAACAAAGCATCCGAAACGTCGCGCCTTACTTAGAATAATTTTCATATACGTTCAACTAATACATTTCATGTTTTGAACCGATAAAAGTGTTTTAATTAAATAAACACTCCTATTTTAAACTGTTTTCTTTGCCTAGAATCTAATAACATTTTTTTTTCAACAAATGTAGGCATTGAACAGACTTCAAACATTCCTAATCCGACTTATTTCATACAAACTATTATTATTGTTTCAGGTGGCTGTATATATCCTTACTACTTCACACTAGTGCTGGCTTCGGTTCCGAAGGTCTATTTGGATCTAAATACCCAAACGGTAAGTCTCACATTTTACTTTTTTAACAATTACTATGTTTATAAAGCTTAAATATTCACTTGGAATGCCAACCCACGACTTGTGCAGCTGAAACTTTAAATACTTTCTATAGTTTACGCGAGTAGTACACATTTAAATAAAACACTGTAACGGTTTAAAACGCGATATATTAGTTAAACTTATTTGATTTGTCTCCCCGTGACCACGGCTGCTGCAAAGCATCCGAAACGTCGGGCCGAAGTTAAAAAACATTTTCAAATAAGTTTAACTAATATATCGCGTTTTAAACCGTTACAGTGTTTTATTTAAATAGCTGAAACTTTTCTATTCTTAAATTTAAGCTGTTAATAAAAAAAGTTATGTTTGATTGGTTGTTAATATAATTTAGTAACATCTTCGTTCTCCAAAATACTAAGAGTTGCCTTAATATTATTACAGGAGAAATTAATACGGAGTTATATCTATAGACGACGCGATAAATACACCTTTGAATAAAACACGCTTAACAGTATAAAACGCGAAATATATTAGTTGGAACTACAGCCCGATGCTTCGAATGCTTTGTTTTGTTCCCTCGTATCCATGACTGCTGCTTTAAAGATTAAGTTAATATGATTTAATTTTTTAACCGTTACAAGTGTTTTATTTACAGGTGTTTTACGCGCATAAACTGTAGACAGTACTCAGTATTAATTTATTCTGTTTGTTGTAATAAAGTAATTTTAATGAAAAATCTATCTAATAAAAATTTGATTTCGTATAGGAAGTATTAAAAATTTTCCCAACATCCCTTGTTACCTTTTTAACCGCTACTTAACATCAGAAGAATCACGTCCCAAGATCTGAAACACCCGGCCCGTATATCATGTTTTATTTGATGTAGCTTCCGTAAGCAATAACTCTTATACGATTCACAGAAAGATCTCAATCTTATTAGTATTACGATTTTATGAGGCGCTAAGAATTTGCTATACTCGGTTTATCTATACTAATAATATAAAGCCGAAGAGTTTGGTACCTTATCTCAGGAACGAGTGGTTCGAATAAAAAAAAAATTTAGTGTCAAGCTTTTATTGCGTGCTACCTATCTATATCTATACTAATAAATAAAGCTGAAGAGTTTTTTTGTTTGTCTGAACGCGCTAATCTCAGGAACTACGAGTTTGAATTGAAAGAAATTTGTTATGCTTAGAGCATTTATCGAGGAAGGCTATAAGGCTATAAAACATCGCCCCGTGACTAATACAAGCGAATATACATGGTGAAATGTTTAAATTTTGGGTAAATTATTCATAAATACTGTCTATAGTTTACGCGAGTAGTACACATTTAAATAAAACACTTTAACTGTTTAAAAGGCGATATATTAGTTAAACTTATTTGGAAATGATTTTTAACTTCGACCCGACGTTCAATTCTGCAAGGACCCGGCCAGTTTCGCCAAATACCAACTTCGACGGAACAGATGGCGCTAGCGTAGCAATTTTTTACTTTGACGTCAGAGACCGCCTCCATCTTTAGTCTCCCCGTGACCACGGCTGCTGCAAAGCATCCGAAACGTCGGGCCGAAGTTAAAAATCATTTCCAAATAAGTTTAACTAATATATCGCGTTTTAAACCGTTAAAGTGTTTTATTTAAATAAATTATTCATCATTATGGGTTTCCGAGACGTAAGCTGCAAAAACGGTTCAAGATACCCAAAAAAATGTGTATGAAGGAATAATTCCGCTTTAAATGGTTTAAAAAAAAGCCGCCGCGTCGCCATATGTATATCCTTTAAGGCAACTTAAACTTGCAAGAACGTAGAACTTGTAACGGCGATAATTTATAAAGATGTGGAGAAGGTTTGCGAAAACCTATCCAGATGTCCAAAATAACTATTCTACAAGGACGAAGCCGCTGACACAGCTAGTATATTATAATACTATAACCGTTTCTGCAACAGAAACGACTATTATATAGTACTTTAGTATTTATCAAACGCGTAATTCTTGTTCTGAAACCCACTTCACAAATGTGATACCAAATTTTCAGTTCCGTACAGAGCATTGCTAACTGTCCCCGCTCTTAACTTGGGCGCAATTCTCAAGTAGTGATACTGTTATTTTATATCTATATTGTATCGACAATATCACTCCTACATACTCTGTGTTAAATATGTGGTCAAATGTCAGATGAAGAAATAAAGTTAGTTCGTATCCGCGACTCAAGCGTTTAATTTATTACAGATATTTAAATAAAACATTTCAACGGGTTAAAACGCGATATATTAGTTAAACTTATTTGGAAATGATTTTTAACTTCTGCCCGACGTTTCGTGCGTTTTAAACCGTTAAAGTGTTTTATTTAAATGTGTACTACTCGCGTAAACTATAGACAGTATTTATTAGAGATACTTAAAAAACATAAAGTCCCCAGTTTGTGCCTGATTCATTGCTTAGCCTTCCGTGTCCGGCCAGATCGAAACAACAATATCGTCTCCTCGGGATACGAATCTAGGACGCTATCACGTTTATCAATTGAGATACGGGTGCGGTCTTGAGCACTTATCTTACTCAGAGGACTCGGTGCCACAGTTGGTTAGATCGACAGCATGGAACGTTGTGTATGCAGGTTCAAGTCCTGCCAAACTAGTAAAAATTTTTTTCAATTTATAATCGATTTTCAATTCACTTATCTTATGTTGTCTAATGCCTACGAGAGCTTAAATTAAAAAAAATAATTTAAGAGAAAACCAATCTATCATGATTGTACGCAGGGCTCGAACTTACGTTCTTTCGCTGTCGTCCTGCTTCTGCCTAGACTTTCAAACTACTACTGTTCTGCGTGATAATCGAGGTTAACGTCTACTCATTTTTTAACCGACTTCAAAAAAGGAGGTTTTTTAATACGATACGTATATTATCGTTTGTACGTTCACACATCTTCGGCGTCTATAAACCAATTTTGATATTGTTGTTTTGAAACATTTACTTGGTACAGACAAAATTGTGTTATAAAATATTTATTATATCGTACTTATTTGACTAAATCAAAATACATTTGTGCGTAGTATTTTTTTTTATTTACTTGATAAAGTCGATTATTTTCTGTTAAAAATTATATAAGTGTATGTCACTCAGTTCCGAATTGCCCCCCAGTTCGCATGGAAAGCTATTCTCTGTTTGGTTTTATACTCGAACGTGGAATTGAGGTGAACGAAATAATCCCCGGTTCGCTTTATTTCACCGTTGGAAATGTGCAAAAAGAAAGAAACGATTCTTTCTGAATTTTCGTCGAAGCCCGTTTGACGAAGGGACTCGTTTTTCACCTCGAGCACGAATCTTGAAGCTTAAGATGCATCTTTAGATAAGGGGACATAGGTGGAGGCGTTATGTTTCTTTACAACACGTCATAGGATTATTATAGCGTACACTTCATTCTAAGTTTAAAAATAGTATAATTTCCTCTTTTTTTCGTTCAGGAATCGCTAGCTCATGATAAATACATTTTTAAATACTGTCTGTAGTTTATGCTAATAGTAAAAATTTAAACAAAACACTTACTTGATTTTAAACGTAAAAAATATATATAAACGCGTATATTATATATGTCGCGTTTTAAATCGTTGTGTTTTATTTAGATACGTTTTTGTCACAACTGAGGTGACCAATCGAACTTAGGAGCTTACCTAAGCAATAAACTTTGCAAACTGTTGTTTATTTAAATAAAACACTAACGGTTTAAAACGCGATACATATTAGTTAACACCCGACGTTTCGGATGCTTTGAATCTTTAGTCTCCATGACTCCAAAGCTGCAAAGCATCCGAAACGTCGGGTCGTAGTTTTAATAATTTTGAAATAACGAATATAAATGTTTACTACTCGCATCGCTTATGTTTCGACTTTTTTCACTACGAACTAGTATTTTAAATCAAACTCGCAAATTTAAAGTTGTAATAAAAATCCGCCGCGCTTCGTCGCTGTTTCCGTGAAACATTTATCGTTTTCCACCCAAAGTTGCGTCATAATTTCCATAATTCAACTTCAAATCAGTCTATTTCAAAACCCGTTAACAAACTCGCCAACTGAAAAAGCAACGCGAATCTAAATTACACTTTCCATTTTCCAGATATCCCCGAATACGACTTGCTGCACGCTATCGGGGTTCCATTTAGCAATCCGAAGACCCAGTACTTCGACGAGGGCCTCGACGGTTTCCCGGCTTACGGGCTCAAACCGGGATCCGATATCAAATCTCCCTATCGCCTTTTTATGCCCGAGAAACTGTACGCCGAATTCGCTATAACTGCGACCGTCCGTCCGGCGAATAAAGATGGCGGGTTCCTCTTTTCCGTCGTAAACCCCCTGGAAACTGTAGTTCAATTGGGAGTCCAATTAATCCCCTCTGGCCCGGGTCTGACGAATATATCACTACTGTATACGGATGCGAATATTTACGCGTTGTCGCAGACGATCGCGTCTTTCGTCGTGCCCTCTTTCGCGAAGAAGTGGACCCGGTTCGCGTTGAGGGTCACGAATGAAAATGTGACGCTGTTTCTTAATTGCTTGGAGTTTGATACTGTGGTGGTGAGAAGGAACCCCATGGAACTGGTGTTTGATTCTGCGTCGACGTTGTATGTGGGCCAGGCTGGTCCACTCATTAGAGGGGCTTTTCATGTAAGTACTCTTAGTATTTTTAAATACACAAAGGCAGTAGAATTTAAATTACAATACATAATTTATACATTCGCAAATACGTAACATTTTGTTTCCAGTTAACTTCGACTGTAATTAAGATGGTTATTTTTAATCTAGATATTGTTTGTAATAACTTAGTAAGTGTTTTATTGGCTGACAAGATATCGACAACAAACCTAAATATCGATTTTAATAATTCACTATATAAATTTTGATTTACTAATGTTATCAAAGTTTGTTGTGCAAAGACACAGATGTCATACGTTGGACCTACCATTTATGTCTGTCTGTGTATGACATGATCTCCTCCCTCCCTCCTCTACCCCCTCTTCATAGGCAAGGATCTGCCTACGGTAGCAGGTGTCGTTACCACTTACCCGTTGTCAGTTACCATATATTACCTATAAATACGTATTTAAAATGAAATGTTTACCTAACTCTAGTGTAGTATTGATCGCAAGACATCCATTACTTGGAAACTTTTCTATTAAGTTGGGAGTTGCGGACTTAGAAAGTATCGTTTTCCTTCTAACTACTTTATGTAATTACGTGTTAACTAACTGAGATGCTTAACTATTTACTATCGAGAACTTCCTTCTGTTCTTGATTAAATATTGGTGAAACATTCTGTTAGCTTACGCGAGTAGTACACATTTAGAATAGAATAAAATAGATGACGTTTATTCGGAGACAACAAAAGACAGTTAACAAACATAGGAAGAATTACAAATTTAAATATTAATTTACTAAATACATATAACATAATAAAAAATAAAATAGTTACATCCGATTAGGAGTCCACGCAGCTACGTTGGGACTAATGTCCCAATTCTGATATTCTGTGTGATTTAAATAAAACACTTCTTTTCAATACAGTCACAGTAGACTAGTTCAATAAGTTGCACGAGATCCAGCAATTATCTAAAGCCTTACCAATCTCTAAATAAAACACTTTTAACGGTTTAAAACGTGAAATTATATTAGTTAACTATTCTTCTAAATTACGGGCCGATTTTTTTTAAATTTAAAATCGGTTTTTAATCTTGAGTAGTTTTTATGTAACATTTTTTCATGCATGGCCGGTATTTGAATTTTCGACTATTTGGCTAAATCCCCGATACAATAAGCATAACACCAACAGTATAGGCATATAAAAAATCAATATATTTTATATGTAGACTGCAGAAACGTAAAATTGTTTCATAGCTTTTAAATAACCGTATTTATTGTCTTTTTCGATAAATTATTGCCAACTGCATATTTACTGTTTGTACACAAAAGCCTTACAATAAAACCTATATAGACATACTTCTCCGGAAAACATACTAAAAGTAGGTCGATGAAATTATCTGTAAAACGCACGCACTGAACCGTATGTCTTGGGTTCGAATCCCAATAAAACACGGTTTAAGTGCTTAGTTCGTGTAAGGTGCAGAAGAAAGACAAATATTTTTCTGTGTAACTTGTAAGGCTAACTTGAAATTATAATCCCGTTTCCCCTGGGACATAGGTGATAGGACAAACATATTTCTATGTCCGTTACACTTATCAGTTTTATTTAGAGGCAAGTAGTTAATCAGACTTCTGTGCCCCGCTCGACCGATACATCTATTGTTTCCCCGGGATTCGAACCCCGACCTCTCGCTTTTAGCACAATACAAGGCAACACGTTTAACCATTTAGCTACAGAGAATGTCCAGAAGACTTATGCAATGTATATATACAATTTAAATACCTACTGTCTGTTATTTACGCCAGTAGTAAACATATAAATTTACTCTAACAGTTTAAAACGCGAAATATATTAGTTAAATACCTATGTCTCCCGTGATCACGGTTACTTGAAAGCATCAGAAACGTCACGACGCATTTAATATAAAATCTTTTAAATAAAACGCTTTAACGGTTTAAAACGCGATATATTAGTTAAACTTATTTGAAAATTATTTTTAACTTAAGCCCGACCTCTGTCTCCCCGTGACCACGGCTGCTGCAAAGCATCTGAAACGTCGTGCCGAAGTTAAAAATCATTTTCAAATATGTTTAACTAATATATCGCGTTTTAAACCGGTAAATTGTTTTATTTAAACGTGTACTACTCGTGTAAACTATAGACAGTATTTATATAAAATCTCCCTATATTTGCTATTTCGTATGTACGAAATGCTTACGTAAAAACAACGACTCCCGATACACTATCAATCATAGCCCATTTGGATCCCAAATATTCCTTTATTTCGGCTCTTATGCCCGAAGCTCGTAAGGGACGCCTTTATCACATGTTTTGCAAGACAAAGCTTAACGGATACAGATAAACACGCTTACAATGGACCTTTGTGTACGACTTCCGTTAACACCTACCCATTTTAAATCGTGCAAAGCTATTTAAATATATCTAAACTATAAATAATAGAATTTTGATATTCGAAAATCCACAGACCAAAACGGAAATGCGATTAAAATTGACGAAATAAGCCGTCTGTGGATCTGTTATTGTACGGCCCGTTTATTATGTGTGGCTAACACATTGATCTTATTAGTATTTTTTTTAATAGTCTAAGGTCCGCCGTCTGTTTTACCGACTGTACCGTTAAAATTTTGAGATCTGCTTTACCGACGCTAGTCAGTCATCTATTTTAAACTAGGAACGCGATTAAGTAAAATAAACAGAAAAAATAATATCTTAAGAACCTTTTGTTTTCTCATCTAAAGAAGGTAAAGCACAGTACGGTCCTACGCAACTAATATCGATGTTTCTTATCAAATCAAAATCAAAAATTCTTAATTGTTTCCATATACATGGTTTAAAAATTGAAAGTCCCTAGTGCCCACACTAGGGCAAGCCTGTGTAGTGGGTGACTAGTCTCTTCCAGGTGATACGTTACAGTAAATAAAATAATTCTTCTCATTTAATATAGTTTAAAATTCTGAAATAATTATATTTTAGACATTGAATTGCATCCCATATATTTTAGTATATAAGCCTCGTTTGTATTTTTGTTCATTTTTGTGCCATAAAGTGTTAAAAAATAAATAGGCTCAGAATGCAAAAAGGAACAACTGATATATCGTATCTAAAATAAGCGTTGAATATTATTTCAACGCTATAAAAGCAGATTCAGTTACCGAGACATAAAACGTGATATGCAAATACAAACTAACGAAAACTTCACTGAAACTTTACCTGGTTACCAGCACAGCGCAGTGCCAAGAAAAACAAGTCAGTTCCCGAAGTTTGTCCTCGTTAGCATTTCGGCTTAGATCCCGGAATTATAACTACCGCACCAATTGAATTTGTAAGCTATTTAGTCTAGTTCAGACGTATGTTTCGTAAACAGGAAATTACCTTAGGTTAGTCAAACTTGCTTATATAGATCGACGCGTACGTTATGATCGCAGGTTCGTTTTCCACCCGGTGCAAAATATTGTATATCTATTTTCATATAACATAACATGTGAAATATAAAAAGGGTCGAAAGAAGGGCGGAAAGGGTGTGAAGTCTACTCGCGTTTCAGTTTTAGTCTGTGGATTTACGAATGTTCAAAGGCAGAATGATCATGACAGATGACAGTGCATATTAATAAGGCATTATATAGTTGGTGGAGTTCACTTCCCATTTAGTGAAGTAAAAGTCTGTTAAATACTGTCTATAGTTTACGCGAGTAGTACACATTTAAATAAAACACTTTAACGGTTTAAAACGCGATATATTAGTTAAACTTATTTGAAAATGAGTCACGGGGAGACGGCTGCTGCAAAGCATCCGAAACGTCGAGCCGAAGTTAAAAATAATTTTCAAATAAGTTTAACTTATATATCGCGTTTTAAACGGTTAAAGTGTTTTATTCAAAGTCTGTTCTTTTCTGTCATTACAAAAGGGATTTAAAACTACTTACTTACTACTACTTTTAGGCTCTTAATAATGTATGGTGCGTGACTTTACGGTATGAACAAAGTCAAATGTCCTGAAAAAAGTTAGAGAACTGAATGCTCTATAGCGTTTGAGTCTAAGTTCAGTTCACTAAATACAGATTATTATAATAATATAATATTTTTTAACTCCTTATCTAGTCATATTATTTTCTTTTCAATTTCACCACTTCACGAAGCCTACACATACATACATACAGCACAGCAAAAGGCATTATTTAGTAGGATTTTCTCAGATATACCCCGAAATCCTGTATGATCTTCCAATCTGCAGTTAGAATGGAATATTATAAGCGAGTGTGGGTCGTCAAATATGCATATGTTAGGAATGGGGGTCGTTTAGGCCCTTCGGCAGTCCCACTTAGACACGTGTTGTAAGCAAACAATATAGCGATTGTTAAAATTGAAAAGGGTATTTTAAGAGCCGCTTTGACTGTGTACTCACTTGTTGTCAAACCGCTGCCCTAACTAAACGGAAAAAGATATTGCTTAGCGTTTAAACACGTATGCCCCATGGCCCCAAATAGGATTTCGCTTGTCACCAACGCTACTAAAAAATATTGTATTATCAACCTCTTCTGATATAAACGTTGATTCGTCAAAATTATGTTTTAAAAATACGAGCGTGTTTCTCTCTACCTAATTTTTTCGCCGAATTCATTAAACATTAACCTGCGTAGAGCTGCCCCTTATTTAGTTCAAACGCAAAAGTACAAAGCAGTACATTTGACTCATCTTATTTTTTCTAGGAACCTGTGTTCTGCTGTTATTCCAATTCTTATTTCAACGGGCTAGTTGATCTAATGGTATCATGGTAATAATCACCGGGTCCATCATTCTGTTCGGTTCCGGGTTCAACAATAATTTTTCTGAAATATGTTGGACTTCGTCTGGAAATTTGGCTATTAAACGCCACCGTCCTTGCCACCGTCCACAGGTGAAAAAGCCGTAAAGCCTAATCGCGATTCGGTTTGAGTCTGTGGATTTCCGAATATCCAAAGCCAAAATAGGTCGACCGCGCATCTTGTAGATATCAAGTTAAATGAAG